CTTAAACCTGTGGCTATTGCAGTATAACTTACAATAGAAGTTCAATTGTTATCAACTAAATTAGGATTGCTACTTCTAATTTAAATATTATAAATTTAAAAGTTTTTCTTTTTATTTATTTTAATTTTATTTTATATAAAAATATAAATAATTTATTAATATCAATTTAATAAATATGAGAAGATATTTATAAAATTAGAGACTAGGATTTTTAATAAAATTTGCATTTTATTTTTCGATATTATTAAATTAAGTAATAAAATAAGAATGATTTTATACAATTTTATTAACATTAGTGATTATTTAATAAAATAGTATTTAAAAAAGTTTTTTTTAAGAGAGTTTTTTGAAATTTATAATGAATATTATAACTTTTTGCCTGCAATTTTTATTAAAATATTTTTCTATATATATAAATTATTTCTAACATTAATGATTTTACAACTTTATTTTATTTTATTTTGAAAAAAAAGGGGGTAAAAAAATAGTATAATAAAAGTAGAAAAAAAGAATTATATTAAACAGATAAATATAAATCACAATTATCATTATAATTCCTTAATATCCTTATTTCCTTTTTAAATGTTCAGATTATGATTCCTTGTTTTCATCTTCATTACCGATTTCAGTAACTTCAATTTCTTTATCACCATCATCATCAGTTGTTACAATCATACAAGGTTTAATATCTTTATCTATTTCATTAATACTATTACTTTTACTATGAGGAGGGGATTGATTTGGAGTTGGAATAGGCGAACTGGATAAAGGATCATTAGAAAGAAATGTAACAGAGGAATTGTCTTGTACCAATAATGTGGAAGGGTATTGTGCTGTTGACAAGCCTGTAGGGTTATTTTCAATTGCTCTAAGGAAATTGGTTAAATCAATATTTGTTTTTGTTACATGACCTAAACCCGACATGATTTTATTAGGTAAAGGAAATTCTAATGAGACTTCTTTAGCTAAACTGGACATTTTTACAGTTGTCTGCATTTAATGGAAAGTGTTAATAAAAAGAATGAAGAATCAAACCAAAATCTCAAAAGGTTTAGTTACCTGTAAGAAAACTATTGAATCCCCATGTACTTTCAATTGCACGCTTAATTCTTCTTTTTGACTTGAAGATAATCTAGCAACCAATAAACTTTTCTTTAACCTTCTAGTAACATCCATAGTATTTTTTACTAAATTTCTTAATTCTTTAATTTTATTTAAAGAAAGTTCTTCCCCTCCTTCCCCTCCTCCTGCGGGATCAGAATTTGTTGAAGTGGTTAAAAATTGATCTAAATTTTCCGATAAATATTTTACAACGTACTCGACATTCTTAATAGAAACATCAACTTTAGATAATAATTGCTCGAAGATATTTACAGGGAACCTTATATCGGGCAAAGGGCTACTGCTGATAGTCCTTTCAATTCCAACCCCAATAATAGATGATGCGCTCAAACCATTCGAATTGATCCCATTTTCATTATAAAGATAGGGCGAAGGTAGACCGGTCGTGCTTGGTGTATTTAAATTATAAGGAGATATTGAACCATTTGAATTTACACCAGCCGAATAAAGTGGGGTTGGTATTGCAATTCCACCGCTTATCCCTCCGATGTTACCACTATTACTATTTGCGTTTGTATTATTATTATTATTATTATTGCTATTTGATCTTGACATTGACCTACTACGAAACGGTGTTGACATACCGGTATAAGGAGTGTAATCATTCAATAAAGGAAATAAAATTTCCCATGCAAATTTAATGTCAGCTATACTTCCATTTAGCATTAACAATAATGTTCTGCTATATCTCATATTATCGGATGATTGAGTAACGATTCCCTTTAACCTCTTATTTAATATATCAATCAATTGTTTAAAACATAATATATTTTCTTGACATGAGCCTAATAATTTCTCGCATAACTCGGTTTCGGGAGGAGATTGTAATGAGATACTATCAAATTTACACAAATTATTACTTAATTGTCCTAAAGTTTTTGAAGCCTTATTTAATTCATTAAAAAATAATTTTTCACTTCCCGTAAAATTTGCAAATTGTCTTAACGCTTTGTGTATTTGAGAAAACGCGTAAAGGATACACCTTGATGCTTCCCTTAAAGATACATCACTCATTGGTAAATGTTCGGAAGGTAATAAATTTTTTAATCTCGTAAAATAACTATCACTTTCCTTCTCTTCTACAATATAATATTGATCATTATAATGTCCCCCATGATATGATAAATGATTACTATTATTTGTTGACGAACTTATCGAATCTGATGAAAAGCTTTTCGAATGTCTTGCTAAATTTTTTTGAACGTTATGTAATATTGATGGATCATCACTTGAGTAACTTCTATTTCTTATCGCAGGTAAATCTAAACTCAACTTTGGTATTTGTTTTTTCCTTTCATTTATTAACGGTGTTATCGTTTGTTTTTTAATTTTTGATGATACATTTTCATCTTCCGTTATGGTTTTTAAATGTGAATTTGGATTATCTCCCGTATTCGTTCTTGTATTCATTATAAAATTTATACTATCTGATGATGTTGATTTCTTTAACCCTTTATTATGCAAATCTTCCTCTCCGCTAATTTTTAAAAAAAAGAATGTTATTTAGACTTATCCATTGATTTATCAAAATCAAAATCATATTAAATCAACGTACCTTGAGTGGTCACTCTCATCCACATCATTTTCTTTTATAGCTACTAATGATCAAACTGTTAGCAAGAGAAAAAGAAAAAAAAAATTAAATTAAAAAATATATTTGATACATTACTTGAAGAATAATTACTTGAATGCTTTCTTAAATATTCTTTTAAATTTTCCAACCAAGGTAACATGACTTCTTTTTCTTCTCCTTTTGGCATAATATGAACAGATTTAGGTGGAAATACGATTGGATTATTATCCAATTTTAGATATTGCAAATCCTTCATTTCTGATATATATAACGGTATTTGTCTTATGTGATTTTTTGACATCTTTAACAACTGATTTTCAAACATGAAAATTAATTAACGTATTAGAATTCATAATGAAAATCGATAAATAATAATGTATTATTTATGATTACGATTTTCTACCTTTAATGACATTAATGTTCCAAAATCTTCTGGCATCTTGCGAATTTTATTTCTACTTAAATCCAAAATTTCTAGATTTTTCATCGAACACAACTGAAATTTTTTTATTTTTTTTTTACATTAGACAAATTTTTTAAAAAAGAATTTAAATAAATAATTTTCACCAACCGCCCCAGGAAATTCCTTGAATGCATTATAAGAGATGTTTAAATATCTTAAATGGGCTAAATTACAAATTTCCTGTGGTAGCGTAGTCAATTGATTTTGTTCAAGTCCAAGTCTACAAAAAAAACAATTTTTTTTTAAAAAAAATATATATATAATATACATTATATCTTTTTTTTTACAATTGGTTTTAATTGAAACGATTCATTACCTTTCAATTTTATAATCTATTGTAATGAAATTGATGAATTCCACCGGTAATTCTTTTATTCCTTTATTACCTAATCGAATAGTATTCGGATCATCATTTAACATTACTTCTACCAAGTTAATCAATTCTTCCTCACTCATTTTTATTCGATTATATGTGTATATGTCAACTGATGATATTATATAATAAAGAATTATTTAAAATAAACGAATGTAATGAAACTAAAATTTTTGATTTATGAATATACAAACGAGGAATAAATGTAGAATAGAATAAATCAAAAAAAAAAAATGAAAGAACGGATATTTTAGTTTGTTCGATCGTAATGTCGTGTAACATACAAAAACGTGGCAACATCAATTTATCATACCTTACTGCATGTATGTACACCTCATTTTTGTAAGTTTAACCGAACAAAAAGATCTTAAATTTTAGTCAGAATTGTAACCACACCAATGATTATGTCAACCCTCTTTGAAAAATCATCTATGACATAATGCATATATGCATAAACCTATTGCCTCTATTGCCTTATAGTTATTCAATTCTTTGAACTAAATTTATGTTATAATTACAATATATATTTCCCAAATGGCATGTTCATTTATTATCTAGAAGGCCAAACGAATTTGATAATTAAAAAGATGTAAAAAAGTAGTTGATGTAGGTCTTTGAAACAACTTGAATAGTATCTTTAGCATTTATTTAACAAAAATTAATTTCTCTTATTCAAAAGGTGATATTAACAAGTGATCATCATTGTTATCAGATCTGAGATTCCTAAAATGGAAAAAACTCTAAAATTGAGTTCGATTAACACAGATCTGTGTAACATGTTTTGAGCCATTATGAGTCATCAAAATTTTTTTTTAAACCAAAATTTTTCTCCGAGCTGAAAAAAAAAAACATAACGTTAGATCCACTGGCTTTTCTGTCAAAATGTCAAATCCACAATTTCAATGCCGCATGTACGAGGCGAAATATCCCGAAGTAGAAGACTTAGTCATGGTTAATGTTCGGCAGATCGCAGAAATGGGAGCATATGTCAAGCTGGTATTGCATTTTTTTTTAAATTATTTAGATATTTATGATCTATATATTTTGAATCAATTAACACTTTTTTTTTTCGATATTTAGCTGGAATACGATAACATTGAGGGTATGATTCTTTTATCCGAGTTGTCTCGAAGACGTATTCGAAGTATTCAAAAGCTTATTCGGGTTGGAAGGAATGAAGTTGTAGTAGTATTGAGGGTAGACAGAGAAAAAGGTTAGCTTATCTCAATTTATTGTATCTTAATTTTCTCTTGATTAATTAGATCATTGTTTAACTCATGACATAGGTTATATTGATTTGTCCAAACGTCGAGTTTCTCCGGAAGATGTAGCCAAAGCTGAAGAAAAATTCAACAAATCCAAAGCAGTTTCGTAACTCTATATTATTATCATCATTATTATTCTGCTTCAATTCAGTTATTTAAGTAAGTAATTGATTTAGATGCTATTCTTGACAGGTACACAGCATAATGCGACATGTTGCTGAAAAGCTAAATATTGTTCTCGAAGATCTGTATAAACAAATTGGTTGGCCATTATACAGTAAATATGGTCATGCATATGAAGCATTTAAATTGGCAATCACGTAAGTTTATTTTTCCATCGATATGAATTATCTTGATTTTTTTTATTTAATAAATACATAATTTTATTTTATTTATTCAAGGGAGCCTGAAAAGGTATTTGAAGGTCTCGAGATATCTCAAGAAATTAGTGATGAATTGTTGAATAATATAAAAAGAAGGTTGACACCACAACCTATTAAAATTCGAGCTGGTTTGCTTGTTTTATTTTATGTTACGTTATTTTTTGTTTTCTTTATCCAATGATCTAATGACTTGTTCCTATGAATAGATCTCGAAGTTACATGCTTTGGTTATGATGGTATCGATGCTATCAAGTCAGCACTTAAATCCGGTGAAGCTTGTGAAATTGATGATATTCAAATTAAGGTAGATTTTTAAAGAGTATTATTAATTTACTTAATTACATGCGCCTGACTTATTTCATATTTTAGGTTAAATTAGTAGCGCCTCCATTATATGTCATGATTACCAACGCGTTGGATAAGAACTTGGGGATTCAGACTTTAGAAAAAGCAATTACTGCTATTCATGAGACTATCGAAAAATCGGGAGGCGTATTAACGGTCAAAATGAAGGTTCGCATTAAAAAAAAATTTTTTTGTAATTCCTTAATTCAAGATTTTATTTCAAATTAGTAATAAGTAAATTATTAATTAGCCAAGAGCTGTAAGTGAAACAGATGATATTGAACTTGCCGCACTTATGGCTCGTGTAGAAAAAGAGAATGCTGAAGTTTCTGGTGATGAAGATACCGATCCAGAAGCCGGTGAAGTCGAATAATGAATGTTATAGTAGTTAATGTTATTAGCTTATTTTTTTAGTATTAATTAAATTTTCATGGATTTTTTTTGGTGATAATAATTTAACGTGAAAATATTTGGATTGGAGAAAATAAAGCTATTTATAAATGATAATAAAGTAACATATTACTGCTGAAAACTGACTATAGTATCCGGCTATTTATAAATTTGTATCGTATTACTTTAGAAGGTATTTTGAACAAAGGAGGGAACTCTGATCTTTTATCTTATAAAAAAATTGTTGCCTAAAATTATATCATATTTTCTTGTTAATCATCTTTTTTATTGTAATGTTAATTGAAAGGAACTAAAGTAATTAAACAATTAACTTAAAAATGTTTTATTAATTGTATATGAGAAACCTAAATAAGTTTGAAACTAGAGAAATATAAAGGAGGATCACATTTACTTGTTAAAAAATTAAATAAAATAAAAAGTTTGCAAACTTAAATAGATAATAAAATTCTATAAAAAAATAAAAAAAAAGATTTTTTTTATTAAACTATTTATTTTAAAATTTATTATTATTTTAATTATAAAGAATTAAATATTTGAAAATTTAAATTTTTTATTTATAATGAATATAATTTAAAAAAATTAAGTTATAAAATTGTTATCTTTTAAATTAATTTTATTTAGTCACATGTGACTTTATAATATAATTATATTATGAAGTCACATGTGACTTAGATTAGGTTATGAAAGTAACTTCATAATATAATGGTATCTTCATAATCTGCTGGTAACTTCATAGTTGGTAATTTCATAATATAAAAGTAACTTCATAATATAATGGTGATATCATAATCTAATTACATGATCTAGTGGTAACTTCATAACATACTATCCATAATCTGATAGTAACTTCATAACCTACTTATAGGTAGCTCCTTTGCATTTATAGTATTTGTTTCAACCGTTTCCTGTATAATATAGTGGTAACTTTGTAGTCTAATAGTGACTATTAGTGCTTTAATTTAATGGTGATGTCATGATCTAATAGTGACTACTTTCTTCTTATTCCTAATCCGTTTACATAATAAAATCTATATTATTAGTTCTAGTTTTCCAAACTTCTTTGAATACCTAGTTCTATAATGAGGGTGCTAGCCTTTATACTAGTTTGAATACTAGTTCTATATTAAGAATTCATACCTATTTAGTTACCTTTCTAGATGCTAAAATGTTGTAAAAAAATATCATGACAGGTGACGTAATAAATTTGTGTTTAATTTTCAGCTGATACTATGCTATAATTCTGGCTGATCTTTTGGAAACACAATTTGAGAATCCAGTTTGGCAATACAATAGCACCATGATAATATCATAAAACTGTCATAGAACTAAAGTGATTCTTTTAGACCACTTATATGCTAGCTTGGATGCTGAGTTATTATATTTAAATATCTGACCAAATTTATGAAATAGTACTGGCTGAAATTATCATAATTTACTGTGCTACTATATTAGTCACGTAACTTTTACTGATTTGTAGATTAGAGAATTTGATGTACAAATGTAAATTATATTATTAATTAGAGAATTGGTAGTGCATTGTGCATTATTATGACCGGTTTATTTATTTGCTAAAAAGTACATTCATCTCACAAGCTAACTATTGCCTATTTTTTACTAGTACATATATGCCAATTTCACATCTAAGATTAGAGGTGCAATATGTATTATTGTAGTCAACTCATTTGATTGCTAATATTTTATATAATGATTACACAGAAGAATACTCTAGATGATACTTATCTTCTAAATATATATATACCACATATATCTGAATACATACCATTAAGATGTAACTTTATGCCATACTTGAATATATACTAGTGATAAGGTAGTCTTCTTCCATTATTTTATATAATATTTCTAAAGAAGACTACCCTAATGTCATATTATATCTGAATATATACTTAAAAAGATAGGGGTTTCTTTTAATATTTTATATAATAATTCTGAAGTTACCCCTATATCAAAGTATATACTATATTACCTTTCTTTTATGTTTTACTAATTAAGTTAGCTATCGCCTCTTTTAAATATACCTCTATATTATACGATGACTTCATACTATATCTAGATACATACTTAGAAAAGTGTAGTCTTCTTCCAATTTTTTATATAAGATTCTGAAAAAGACTACACTTTTTCAGATACATCCACTTGCCTTTTATTTACAATTTTCTTACTAGCTTACTATACATCTCTTTTTTTGAAGAATGGAAAAATTAATTAAACATTTTTGAATTTTATAGAAATAGTATAACTTTTCGAACTAATATCATGCATACACTAACTATTTTCAACTAATCTGATCACATCAAAACTGCCTGCTATAATGGCATTAGCCTTAATAAATATTTAAGTGACTCAAGCAGTTGTACTGATAATCAATTTGACTTAGGGTCAGACAATTATAATAACTATAAGTCTAATTATGAGTCAGATAATGAAGAAGCTTTCTATGCTTCAACCAACACTATCAAGACTCTATTAGTTCAACCACCAAATATAAAAAAGTGAAAGTTTAATGTAACATATACTTTAAGGCAGAAAAAGTTTAATGTTAATTTTTCTTTCAAAGATTTGTTAAATGCCATTCGAAAAATTTTCCTATCATCACTTAAAGATATGTTAGATGAAAAAAGGTCATTGGAATATCTCCCAATTTATTCATTTTTCTTTCTAAATAAAAAAGGCTCTAGATTATATAATGCTTATGACTAGGATAAAGTGAAAGATAAATTGGTTATCAAAATTGATCAAGGTGATCAAGCCTCAAAGTTTTTCATTGTAAATGACATTTTTGAAATATATAGTTTATCCAAAATTCATGAATGTATTAACGGTCAAAAACTTTTAAGAGCTATGATCAATATCAATGTGTTAAAAGGGGATATAGAAACAGTTAGTGTTAAGAAACAAGAAATATTCATCTAAATCTGTTGCTCTTTTATAAGAGCTCTGTACTGAATTCTTGACTGTAGTTGAGAAGATATTTTCAAAGGATTAATAATTACTACATCATTAGATCCTAACAAGTATAGTTACTATATTTTATATGTATCTGTTCTTCTTATTGATCACTATGAACTCAAAGTATTTACAAAATTAGTATATACTATAACTGGAAAAAATTTAGCAAGTATATTGATAGAGGATTACTTGATCAAAATTTTAACCTCTACCTTATCGGTTCAGCAAAAAAAGATTGTGTGAAGTGTGTCCTATTATCTTCAATAACTAATATCTAGAACGAACTTGATCATACTATAGTTCAACTACCTTCTAGTTTAGGACTTGAAGTAAGACCTCAAATGCTTAGCATAGAAAAAATAATAATCTGCTAAGAATATCTATAGGTCAGGATGTATTACAAAAATATGTAGACCTAGTTTTGTAAAAGTATTCAAATTATCTTAAGGATTAGACTATTAAAGAAAAGGACTTAGAAAACTTCATATATTTTAACCGAAAAGCTCTACTAGAATGCTCACTCTGCAAACGCATACATGATAAGAATCAGTGGTGGTTCAGCTGTATATGTGTTAATAGTAGTGAATCTATCGTAAAATATTTTTGGCAAAATAGTGATGAGCATGAGAAAATTTTGAATGTGACCCATCTATTACAGAAAAAATTTAGCGAGAAAATAAAAATTCTTCGCAATCATCTTATAAGGTAAAAGCCCTTAGTTTTCCTAAAGCCTTTGTAAAATTCCCATTTTAGATCAAGTATAATAACCTCCTTACAGTAACAGAAACATAGGAGAGGTATGTAAGACAATTATTCAATAAAGATGATATTTATGTAGAATCACCTTAAAAAACGGGAAACCTATATTCTTGAAAATTCAATTATCTCTAATAATGTAAATTTGCTAATATTATCTACATATCATTCTTACTTAAATGCTATTACTACAAGGCTTAATCTTAAGTCATATTGTGATATTAATGGTAATATAAATTTACCTGATCATAAAAGGGTAGTATATCAGATAGAAAGTTTACATTGTATTATCAATAACTGTAAATGCAATAAAAAATGCAAATGTCTTCCAATTCAATATGACTTATGGCTTGATGAAATAGTGTCTATAATTGCTTAAGCACAAAGTCATTTGACAGGACAATCGATAGAAAAATTATATAAATTAATCCAAGATATAAGACATATTATTATAATAGACAATGATTTAACTGACCTTAACATTAAATAGATTAGAGTTCTTTATAAGGATAGAGTATTTTCAATTATCCATAACATTTATTAACCACAAAAAGGTAAGACATTCTACTTGGTTCCTAATAAAGAAACTGTACAGTTAACTTTTTTTACAACAAATTTTGATATAACAAATTTTACAATACAACAGATTTTCAGTGTCAAATAGATTTTTAAATATAAAAAAACCCTTACTATACTAAATTTAGTAATTAAAAATTCATATTATGTTTAACGAATTAAAGTCAAAAAAATTTATATATAAAATGACTCTTTTATAATGAATTTTCTCTATAATGAATTTTTTTTTGATACAATGAAGTTTTGCTTAAAATGAATTTTACTAAATTTATGTATATAAAATTTTGTAGTTCTCC